CCTCTACTAATTAATTACTTACTTACTAGTAGTAGTAGTTACTCTACTGTAGTCGTCGTCGTCTCTCTCCTCCTCCCTACCTCGTACGTACGTATACGTCTCTCTCTCTCTCTCTCTCTCTCTCTCTCTCTCTCTCTCTCTCTCTCTCTTCTAGTTAGGGTTTTGAGTTGCTTTGAGCCTAGAGTAAACTCTAAGGGGCACGCCCAAGCCACTAGTGGGTGGCACGCCCTAGACTAGATGGTACTTGTGTTATTGTCTTGTACTATGAGACTGCTTCCATCCCATGTCATGCTCTCAATAGGTTTTCCCTAGGGTTACCAAATTATGAGACAAGGTTAGGACCAAGATCTTGTGTGTCATTGGTGGAAGAGACCCGGTGTGGGGTATACGAAGTCCTTTGGGGTGACCTGAAGCAAGGTATTTAGAAATTCTAATGGCTCCATGTTTCTTGATTCTTCATGCATCGCATTTTTGTTAGATTGTAAGGAATTGCAATGGTATGCAAGAGAAGATCCTAGATTGTATTAGGGTATATTTTATGAATAGAGTTGTAATTTTGAATACCTGTAAGTGTTCTAGCCGGTATGAATAAAAGAAAGAAAATAAAACTTTAACTGTATATACTTGGCTAGATCACATTGTCCTACTTTCATGTTAGAGGTCTGACAATAGCCACACCACAAAATGTGTACCCACCACAATCCCTCGACCCCAATCCCCATTTGCACATAAGGTAGGGTCAGGTGAGAGAATTCAACATCTGTAAATTAACCAATGCATTTCTGGGTTCCCTGGGATCGGTATCGTCCAGATTATGCTGCAAATTAGAGAGTCAAGAGCCCAAACCCCAATTAACCTATAACTATTACACCAAAATAAAGTTTTTTCTAATAAAAATCATAGGCAAACCATAATCTTTTGATCCCAACTATCATTAGCCATTGTCAGCATTTAGGTGCAGTATTTATCCAATAAACCATGTCTTTCAGGAAGTATCAGATAAAGCACAGCAGGACTGAAAAAAACAAAGATACAGACTGCCGCGATTACCTGATGCATTCCATCTCATCTGCAGCAATTACAATTGGTGAGAAAGGTTGGAGCAGTGTTGTTTTTATTTCTCCCTCAAACCCAGTATTTAGACTGGCAATTTGATGGCTGAGCTGCCTCATAGCTGCAAAAGTGAACTCCAAAAATGTCAATAAGAAACTAGAAACCAAAAGAGAGAGGAGAAAACAAGAGCTGATTCACCAACTCAACAAAATAACAAAACAGGAATGACTTCAACTTACAATAATGCTGGCATTTCGTAATGCCGTCCAGTGCTAATCTTTCTCTAACTTCTCGTTGTGCAGATAATTCTTCATTGTCATCTGCTGCAGTAAGAAGAGGCCTAGAGAAATGTCCACAGCTCCAATTGTAGATAGTCGACTGGGGAAGTAAGCTTCGTTCACTAGGCCCCGGAGACCCACTAGAGCCTAGAAGTGGATCAGCTAATCCTGTGTCTACAGAATTAAGCTGATGTGGCCTAAACTCTAAAGAGCATACTCTTCTCATTCCAGTCAAAAAATTTTGTCTGGTTGGGGGGCTCACTGGTGGAGTCCTGAATGTCATCGGCAAATGACCTGCCAAGAAAATTACAGCCAAACAAGAACTCTTTACAAAAGAAAAATAAGAATAATAAACATGAATAGGCGAACATCAGGGATATCCGACAGCTTACAAGGCTAGCACTGAAGATAAACACAATCAAAAAAAATTTGAGATTGTATGCAAATCTTAGTTATCAGTATAAATGGGAAGTAAGAATGAAAAGAAACATAGGCATGAGCATAATAAACATAAGAAATAAAAGGGAGGTCAGCTAGTACAGGCCATAAACCTTCACAGAAGATGAAAGGAAACAATCATTAAGGTTCAATGACAAAAAAAGGCAAACATAATGGGCAAAAATTGACATAACATGTGATTCATCGTTACATCAACAGTTAAGGACCGCAAAAGAAGTCGCGGTTTTAACATATTCCTAGGATTCAATGCATTTAGGGAACCCCAATCAAGAACTCGAAAACCACCCAAATGACCGATGAGGGGATTCTAATTTTAAAACAGCAGAGTACCTGGAAAGCATGTAAAGGTTGTGCGGATGCTCCAGAAAATTAATCTATCGGAACTGTGACCGAACCTAATGACTTTTAAATTTTTCTATTTCACCCCAAGTTTAAGATATTCATGTCAAGTATATTGAATTAAGAATCCGGATAAAACAGTGATTACAAAAACCTTTAATGGGCCCAAATAATCTCCTGAGTATTCAACATTCTGGACCACCTGCATGATCCATGCATGTCTTCCATCTAGTGTGCTCATATTTCCCCCAAACAAATCCAAAAAATATCAGAGGGATTATCTGAAAATTACCTGAATTCATGTCAAACCAAGATGCGGAGCGTGCAAGACCAGCAAGGGTAGGAGTCGTAGGAGCAGTCACAGTATCGCCCTGCCTAATGGTCCCACTACTAGACCGCAATGTCTTTGGCACCACTTGCTCAATACCAATAATGGAGAGGATCTGCTTGCCCAGATTTGCTATTCGAGGGGATGGATCCTTTGCTAGGGTATACATGGCCACAACACATTGTGAATATATGGCATTATCCACTGTTCTTGGCTTCGAAAAGTTGATAATGCCATTACTAGCAGAGTCATTAGCAAAGATCCCATACTCTGAATGGTGAGAAGAAGTATCTGATAAAGGAGAACCTTGTTGCATGGTTCCAAGTGGGCTGTTTGTTGTAACCCTTCCATCTCTACCTGATGTATTGGTGTCACTTCCCACTCTTAATAAAGAACCAAATTGGGAAGCAATAACATTTACAGGTTGCAAATATTGGGTAGAGCCAGTAAACCCACTACTTGAACTTCTAACATGAGTCAGCGATGGCAAAGAGCTGAGCAGAGAACTCGACTGCGGCTTCCAATAGGCAGCAGCCGTAACCTTCAGGTGCTTGTTGTGACCAAATGCAAACCGTGCTAGAGCTGCAACACATTGAATAATGAATCATGAACTTATTACATACAGATCTTGAAGAAAGAACTTATGTATAGTTTTTTAAACATTCGCCAATTACAATCAAAACCTCAATTTCTAATATGCAAGACTGAAGTAGAAGAAAGAGATACATGACCAGAATACTGACCCGCAGCAACCTCAGCCCTAACCAGGGGGCTCCCATCTGAAACAATTTTTAGAAGGCTACTAATGATATTCAACTCTGCCCTATTCTTTTCATCATCATCACTATCCTCATCACCAGCAACCGCATCTCTAAATGAATCAGCTCCAGTATCCAGAAGTGTTCCCAGAGCAAAAACAGCAGAGGCTCTCACCTGCAACATGACACCTATGAAACTAATACTCGTACAAAGCTGAAATGATGAATTATATCATAATCCAATGAAGGGATTATGGAAAATTTTGTCCGTTGGGTCATCATTGTGGAATGAAAAGCCGGACAACGACAAAGCCCCCAATGGTGGGTCTCCTCTATCAATCACCATCTATCATTCCCATGCGCAATGATAGCCCCAATGGGCAACAGCATCTCCATAGTAGATAATATTATACAATAGTATCCCAAATTTTAGAAAAAGATTATATGGCCCAACCCAACCATCCAAGCAGGTGGTCTAGCCCCCAAAAAACATACGACTATATTTTTTTAAAACTGAAAATAGTCAGATCATCGTTGATTCACTTTGTGAAGAATTTCCAAAAAAATGGAGCTCCTCAACACCTAGATCTATCGTCCAAATCTCTAAGGTATTGATTCAGAGAAGTTTTGGATTCCAAATCCCTTTTTTCTTATGGAACTTGGGGTGACGATCTAGAAACTTTCAGATTCAGAAAAAAAAAAAAACTGAGTAAGAGTTTGGGGGCTCGGCAATGTGTTGTAGGTGGTCAGGTCAACCACTTAATTCATGCCCATAATTGAAATACTGAATGAGTACAGTAAAAAACATACTTCAGGCTGCGGTTCTGACAGAAGAGGAGTAAAAATAGCGGGGGCATCTTCCCGTAAGGCTATTGCTTGAGCCTCCGGGAAGTCCTCTGTCAGCTTTCCAAGACACAAACAGAGCCACTGAAGAAGCAGAGGCTCCGTTTGGGTATCAGGTGGGCTTGCCAGCTGCAAATGTCTCAAACATTTATGTATCAAACTTGCTTGCACACAAGCTTCTTGTCCTCGACGATGTCCATCCACTATAACAGCCAAAACAAAGGCAGCCATGGCACGCTGTTCTGGATAAGCATCTAAGCTGTCAAGAAACTTAATAAAATACATGTGCCCTCCATCTTTCACAAGATCGACCTGACAAGACTGAAGTTCCAAAAGAAACCATGTAAGTTCCAGAAAGCATGACTTCTAACAACAGATGAAAGGGCAGCGTAGACTTGAAAAGACAAAAAAGCAATAAGATAAATAAGAAAACAAAATAAAATAAAAATAGACAGCTAACAATGTCCAAAAAAAAATTAGAGCTTGTGGAAAAATACTGTTTATTAAAGCCATAAAAATAGCAGATCAAATCTACCGAGGGAACCAAAAACAATTAAGGGAAAACGTGAATTTACCTTGTCAAGGGCCAAAATCTTGGTCCAAATGAATACAAGTATTTGTCGAAGTTCCAGAGCTGTAGTTTGCAGCAATTTAAGTACATATGGAAAGATTCCAACAGATAAGGCCTAGAAGACAGCAGAATGAGATGCATGTCAAATCAAAGAGACACAGCATCTTAAGCATAAAAGCAGCAGTGATGTCTCACAGTGAAGGAAAAGAAAAGACAGTACCAAACAAGATCAAATTAATTAATCAGTTACCAAGTCTACAGCCCAAGGTCCCATATCAAGAAATCTTCCAAGAAGTACCAAAGCACGAAATCGATGAGATTGACTAAGCAAAACCTGCAGGAAGTAGTATACGAAACCACATAACAATTAGATAAGAGAAAATACATAAAAGCATAGAAAATTCAAAATACACAAATTTGATCCCCATCCAAAGTTTCCGAAGGCACTGAGGGGCTAACGACTCAGTTTCGAGGTGCATCCACACACATATATATGAACTCAAAATGTGCATGCAATGATATATATCTATATTATATATATATATATATATAAAGAATTTGTCAACCCAAGGACTGATGCAATAGTATAAGCCCAACAGCCCACATTGAATCTGGACAAATCAGACGGCCATAGTCGTGTTTCATCTTTGAATATTAATATTTTTCTACAAATCCACATCACTTGAAATTTGGAGGATCCACTCTTGAAGAATAGGTGCACTAATAAAATATTGAAAAAATAATTCACAAAAAAATAAATTGACCAAAATATCCCATAAAATTTTAACAGTATTTTTGTCAATTTATTTTTCGTAAGTCATTTTTTTAATCTTTTTGTTAGATGTGCCTTAATAAGAAGAGTGGACGCTCCAAATTTCAAGTGATTTGAACTTGTAGAAACAAATATTAAAACTCATATACGAAATACAATTGACACCAACATATCTGCCCATATTCAATCTGAGCCATCAGGCGTATTAGCCCTTGGGCATATACTATTTAGGGGTATTTTGGCAGATTTATTTTTCTGTGAATTATTTTTACATATTTGGAGGTGCGCCTTAATGAGAGGAGTGGATACTCCAAGTTTCAAGTCATGTAGATTTGTTGAAAAAAATTACAATTCTTAGATGAAACACGATCGTAGCCATCCAATCGGCCTAGATTCAATCTGGGCAGTTGGGTTTATATGGATGCATCATTCCTTGTAGACACAAATACTTAGGTACATATACGTGTGTGTGTGCACCTAACACATATACACATTTCCATATTTAATTGAGAAGACGGGATGCTCCAAGTTTCAAGTCATGTGGATTTGTAGAAAAAAGATTTAATTCTCAAATGAAACATGATCGTAGCCGTCCAATCAGCCCAGATTCAATCTGGGCCGTTGGATTTATACGGATGCATCATCCCTTGTATACACACATACATAGATACATATATGTGGCTGCGTGTTCCCACGAATGCACATGTACGCATTTCCATTTATTTAATTGAATGGAGCTTGAACATTCAAATTTTGAAAAAATAATCCCAAAGCTTGGAAATAACTACGTACATGTTGAATCATACTTCACAAATGCAAAATAGTAAATGTAGGATGGAATAAACTAACAAACAATCAAAGTAATAGGATCTCATGATCTACGGTCAAAGTAATAGGATTTGGGAAGATTATTCAAAGTTTTACGGATTTTTTAAATCACAAAAGAATCTCAAAAAATATTGAAATTTTTTTCTCTCAAGAAATGTTATTTGAAAGCTTTTCTTCTTTTTTTGTGGTGGTTTGTTCGTGTGTGTGTCTTTTTTTTGTACGGGGGGAGGCGATGCGGTGGCACTCCCGCCTAGTAGGACCGCCTCAGCCAGGCAAAGCGCATGGGCCCCTGCTCTGCCTCGGGGTGCTACCTAGGCACCCAGCGAGGCACTTTTTGATACATTGAGACCTCACCTGCAGAACAATTGGTAGTTGCTCCGGTGGCTTTTTACGCTCAGACCCATGGTCTAGCCACACTTCAAAAGCAGTTAGTTGCTCTGTAAAGAAAGGGCTTGGCTGCATATAAATCAGAGACATTTATAAGTCAAAAGCACAGCGGTGAATATGTCGAACAGGAAATATAACAAAACCAATATAAATAGGATCATGATTTTTGTCAATTCACATGCATCATAAGAAGCAGTACAGATATATGACAATATCTGGCATACAAGACATAAAGAAGGCAGAAGACCTGAAACTCAACATCTGAATCCTCGCGAACTAATACAGGAAGCTGGGCGAGACACAGCTCAGCAGCCATGTCCCATGCATCCCTGTGTATATCAGTGAATAACTATTTTCAAAATGCTTAAGAAACCGGCAGGCACATAAAAATTGGTACCAAATTGCTTCCAATTGATTTACCACATATGATGCTGATGAGTTGAAGGCAGCAATGGAAATGAAATAGGAGAACAGTTTGCAGCCCGCATAATGCGCTCTGCGAGCAAGAAATTTCGGAAAAGACTGGCTACTAATAAATCCTGTCTAAAGAGCCTCTGGAAAAGATCTGCATAACGACGTTTCAGCAGAAAAATAAGGCCCTCCACAAATTATAAATATGGTCCCAGAAAGCATAGCAAGAAATCCACAAGAAAACTTCACAAGAAAACTTCACAAAAAGGAGTACCTACCATGGGGTAAAACATTCCAGGCAATAGTATCAGTCACTGCCGTAAAGATCCAGTTCAGTTCCCCTAAGAGTGTTTTCCTATCAGTTTGGCGACCAGGAATTCTGTCTATAAGACTGTGATCTAGAGTGTCCCGAAGTAATGATCGAGAACAAAACCTGAAAAGTAATCAAATGTGACAAATAAGTACCAAATATTTACAGAAACAAGTAGGATGGAAGAGAACTTAGAAACATAAAGCTACCAAAAATTAACAAGAACCACTATAAAACATTCAACTTATCGAACCCTGCCCGAACACAACGGCGATGTAACTAGAGTACCAAAACCTTAATTAAATAATGACAATAGATTAACAGTGAAAAGACAAGACGGACATTGATGAGATCAGCAGAATTCACAGAAACTAAAAACAAAGGAAATTAACAATGTAGCTGGCCCTAAACAAGGATTACTTTAAGAACATTCTTATTCCCAAAAGCCAATAACAGTGAAAGCCATTAAGTTCCTAAAAGTATGAGACAACAAATCTTCTTGAACCGCAAAAACAGCCATAGGAGCATAAAACCAACAAATATTGGACAATACTTGATACCAAGAGTACGGCCAAAAGAAGTTCCAAAACAAAACTAAAATTTCTAATGGTCCATATACCCAAAATGAATTTTTTAAGGAATAATGTGCCAACCATAACAATCATATGAAAGAGAGAAAATCTTACTAAATCCAATTGAAGACCAAAAGTAAAAGGGAGATAATTAGGGTACTTACCACCGCAATGCCATTTTTATTGGTGTCGTGAGGCATGATGTGAACACATCCGCAGGAAATTCAGCACTCTGTGGAAGTGTCTCATGTGCTTCACAGGCGGCAAGCAAAATGCAATCCTTTGATGGAGGCACAGATGAACCAGCTGTGCTCCACTCTTGCAGCTGAAAGAAGACACAACACCATACAAGGAAACAGGCTGCATTACATATAAGAGTACAGCCGCAACAAATTTTGCTACAATCACATCATATCAGCAAATGCATCAAAGTCATGGAAAACAAAACCAGTAACTGCATAATACATGCCTCTGTAAATGCACTGACAATCATTCCTGCTGCGGAGCAGTCAAAAACATATATAGATGGTGTCTTGAGCCATGACTCTAACTCACGAATTGGCAAAGGGATGTATTGTGTATAACTCTAACAGAAAAAAATAAAAAATAAGAAACATGTTAGCTAACACATTAACAATCTGGAGCAGCTCATATTACTCAAGTGGAAGAGCCAAAGAATACCTTGTTGAAAAGCCAAATTTCACCATTGACAGTGGGTTTGGGAACACCATGCCCATTGTAATGAAAGAGCACCCTCTCTGATTTTGCATATTTGCGACATGTGTGACAAAGTTTCTTCACTTCATCTACAGTAGGATCAAGTTGGAGCTTATACCGAGCCTGTGCATACCAAAGGGGTTAACCAAGAGTAGCACCGGATATGTTTAACTGCCGCTACAGAAATGGATTACCTTGGGTTGCCATCTTTCATATTGGGCATGCAAGGTTTTCCCAATAGTCTCAAGTGCCTTTGGTGCAGCCATTGAGAATGGATCTGCAAAAATAAAATAATATTTTAAAAGTCCAATATTTCAGTTATTTCCTCTTTCTTCATTTTTTTTCTTTTTCCTGTATTCTTAAACTTTCTCCATATTAAAAACATTGGATACATAAATGGGCAGTCGTACAAAACTTGTCTCACCTATCCAACACTCCATTCTTGCACAAGGAGATATTTTGATGACATCGGGTGGATCCACACTAATGTTTAAACATAGAACAAGTGCAACACACCCAGTCTTCATCTGCATAAGAAAATTGCCATCGAACAGAGGAAAGAAGAATATATGATCATTATCCAAATAAAGGATCAAAAACAACTTTTCATGGGATAAGACTTCTGAAGTATATGAATCAATAAACACCATGAAAGCAAAGAAAACTAATGCCCTTACTACATTCCGTACAAATGAATGGAATAGAGGTAAATAAAGCATCATATGTATCAGTGTGATATCTAATGCACCATGTAGGGAAAAAGCAAATAAACTCCATAAAATAAAGAAGACTGAAAGCTCATGCTCTGTAAGGACCCCAAAACAGAACCCTTCATGTGTCTAGAAACAACAATGTTCTTCTCTTCTTGGTCCATCATTTACATATACATATATAGGAGGGAAAATTAGAGCTGGCCTAGTGCATGCGACGTGGTTGCATTTTAAAACAATGTTCCTATATTAATCTCTTTTTTAGACAACCTTATTGCGGCATTGAGAGACGCTCGACCTCGAGCTTGTAGATTTTAAACTTGAATTAAAGACTATTTACTACATCACCCATCACGTGTACTTCAGGATACTCATCTTCTATGTTGATTTCATTGGCTTATTAACCAAAGTATATTTCCATCCTATTCTCCAGGTATTCTTCAGTTTATTTACCAAAGAATGTTTCATTATATCGATAACAAGTAACCTGGGAAGAACCATTTGATCTCATTCTTTCTTCACTAAATTTCTGGCGGTCAAAAACCTCCTTTTGGTTACGGAAAGGAATCACTTATCAGTTCTCCAATATAACCTGGCTCCCACACAAAGTGCAATTGAAAACCATCGCTTAAGGTCCACGACTGGCGCAGATAAAACTCATCCCCAATGGTTGGTTAGACCATTAACATAACGGGCAACCTTTTAACATTCAATATCTTGTAGAATGTTTTGAGTACAAGCCTATAAAATTCCTCGATGTGGTCCTAAACTCTTATTACCCTCTTCTCATTCCATTGAATATTTTGGAGGACATAAAAGAAATTTGCTCATGATCCACAAGAAAGAAAATTATTTGCACTTCTTCATTTTTATTCCAATCAAAAATTTCTGCCATCTGTTGCGAGTCAAGACTGAAGATTATTGAACTTGCTCCCACCAGGTTCCCACATACCCACAGGCCTGGTTGTGGTAAGTTCAACTTTATGCTCCTCCAATTCACTCCTCTCAAAGAAAATTCCAACCAAACACAACCAAGCAATAGAACTTCGACATGGAGCCTATAGTCCTCAGGGAGAACGACTCTAATGTTGAGATATCACATATGCTCAACCAGACATAGTTTATGTCAAAGACACAGCTCATTATGTGCTAATGAGATCAACTACTGGAGTCAATCTCCATGTCCGATTGATCTCTAAGTTGTGATGTGGTGGATTAGGAACATACCTCTCTTCTCCTCGAACTGTTTTGTCTTCATTCCAAACACTACTTATTTTGGTGATCTAGCCTCAAAGCTCTCTGATAATCCGATTGGGCCTTGAATATCTCTGATCTCACCTCAAAAGCCACCTCTGACATCATACGGGTTATGAGAAGTTGAAACAAGTTGCCAATATGGGTGGTGGTATTAGCAGTATCTTGCTATAATTATCTTGAAGCTCCGATACCACTTGACACAGAATGGAGGCAGAAAGCAAATAAACTTTACAAACACAAGAAGATTGAAAGATTATGATCTATCTCAGAGCATTCAAGGAAATCCACCCAAAAAAGGACTCTTCAAGAGGATATTAAAAAAAATATTCTTCTTTATTCTTTTTCTGGTCAAACTGTTTGCCAAAAAAGATGTCATAATGTATATTACCTGTCCAAATCCAACCCTATATAAACACAATATCAAATAACAGAGAAATATTAAACAAGGATAGAGTACGTAAACCCCCACCCCCTAAAAAGCAAAAAAAGAACAAATTCTATGTTAACCTAATCTTGACTTAAAAATAAATTGATTTTTTCCAATCCAAGAGATAATCCCATATTTCCTATCCTGGTCTCATTTGCCTCACAAACTCAATCATCAGAAAGAAAAAGAAAAACTGGATTAATGGAATAATTCATAGAAAAAGAAAAACTGAACCACGATCCCAGCTAGATTTCATAAGCCAAACATGCCATGGACACCTCAAAAGCACGCAAGCAAGAGAATGAGAAATCAACAACAAACTCTGAAATTTATACTAAGGCATGGTATTTTCAGAATTCAAAATGTTAACTCTAATTAAATTTAAGAGCCAAACAGGATCATAAATCAGCTTCTCTCCATAATCCAGATTTCTTCTACTTCATAGCACACACCTCTTATAGGATTTGATTGTAGACTCCTAAAGAAAACTTTAACAAAGGTACTTTCCCTTTGAAGGTCACAATCAAATTTCAAAAGCCATCTGCAGACTTAGATATCCCTATTCTACGATATCCAGACAGCTAAGTTAACAAAATATGACACAATAGGATACTTCTAGGACACTTGTGTGCATTAAATACCATTTATATAAATAAAATTTCATTAAAATATAAAATTATGCAATATATTATGGTATACAATTACACAATACATCAATTTGTCAATTGCATATAGCTAAACAGTCTATAAGCTATAAGCCAATATTATATATGAGTTATCTTAGTCCCTACTCCATACGGGAATTACAACATCAATCATAAACAAGAACAACATGCAACATATTCCAAAACAAAAAAAAAACAACATGTAAAGACATTATCCTTTCAGACCGACCAGATATGCCAAGATGAGTTAACCATATAACAATGAAGGGTTCATGAGGAAAAAACATTGTCAAGATGGCATTCTATGGGAATAGTTGTAGAGATGAAACAATCATAGGATTTCTATGGACCATTCAATTTCAAATATTATAACCTAACTGGCCACAACCTTTATCAGGTTGAATGATAGTATTTAACGGCTGAATATTAAAAGGTTGAATCATGTTGAAGGGAAGGAATTCTTCCCCAGGGATAAATGGTGAAGAATTTCTCAAATAATGGTATTGGGGAGAAGGCTACAGTGATCTACCACGGGGGTAAAATTACCACTGAGATGATGCAAACCAAACCAAATCAACTGGGTGATAAGCATTCAACGGGAGATGCAAGTTTGATTACTGCAAACAGCATCAGGTTGGTGATCCATGTAAGGTTGAGAAATTCTTCTCTCTACCTGATATGAGTACTTGGGAGTAGATGCAAAGGAATCAGAGGCTAAGTTTTTTTTTTCTTTTCTTTTTCTTTTCTTTTCTTTCTTTCCTTTGGTTGAAAGGTCGTAGGCCAAGTTCTGTGCCCAGATTTCAGAGTCAACCTGGAACTCGACCAAATTATTAGTAGGCATGCTATGTTGGGCAAGGATCATAAGAAATTATAATGCAGTTGTTGAACAGTGCATGGGGTCCAGTGGTACTCGATAACTTAGCAACAATGTTCAAAAACAGGGAGGCGGCTGCCTAGGCTTTTTGCGGTCTTCGCCGCCTAGGTGTTTTAGTGTCTTGACCGCCTAGAAACAACTTTTTTGTTGGGGGGGTGGAGAGTTGGCAGGGATCTGTTTTGCGTGTGTGTTTTGCGTTTGTGTGTGTGTAATTGTGTATACATATAGGACTAGTAGCTTTGAAGAGGATGAAAATAGGAAAGGCTTTAGGACCAAATGGTATTCCGATAGAGGTTTGGAAGTGCATAGGGGAGATTAGCATTGACTAGCTGACCAAGTTGTTCAACAAAGTATTGAGAACAACGAAATGCTAGACGAATGGAGGAAAAGTATTGTGATACCTATCTACAAGAGAGAGTGATTAAGCAACGACCAAGGTATGAAATAAGTATATCAATAAGCCAATTCAGTTTTGTGCCAAGGAGGTCAATAACCGTGGCTATTTTCCTACTTAGGCAACTGATTGAGAAGTTTAGGGTGAAAGAAAAAGATCTCCACATGGTCTTCATTGATCTAGAGAAAGCTTATCATACAGTACCTAGAGATTTGATTTGGTAGGTGTTGGAAAATAAAAGAGCCAATAGACACTACATCGACTTGCTGAGAGATATGTACAAAGGAGCACTAACTAGTGTACGAACGACTAGTGGAGAGACAAGTGAGTTTTTAGTGACAACAGGTCTACATCAGGGTTAGCATTGAACCCATACCTCCTTATCTTACTTATGGATGATTTAAATAGGCACCTACATGATAAGGTTGGTGCATGTTGTTCACGGATGACATAGTTTTGATCAATGAGACCCGAAAAAGCATCAACTCTGATACAAGATAAGGTCAGCACATGTTGTTTGGGAATGACATAGTTTTGATCAATGAGACCCAAAATAGCGTCAACACAAAGTTAGAACTTTGGAGGGATACACTAGAACTCAAAAGTTTCAAAATTGGCTAGACAAAGATTGCGAATATGGAATGCAAGTTCAGTAATAATATGAGCAAAGACGAAATACCAAAAAGAGCACATTTTCGATATCTTGGGTTGATAATCTAAGAAATTAGAAAGATTGATTAATATGTCGCACAAGAATTAGAGTTGGGGGGCCGAAGTGGAGATGTGCAACCGGAGTTTAATGCAATCGCCGCATGCCAATGAAGCTGAAAGGCAAGTTCTATAAGACAGCTGTGAGACCAGCAATACTTTATGAGGCGGAATGTTGGCCAATCAAAAAACAACATACTCATAAAATGAGTATAGTTGAGATAAGGATGTTGAGATAGACGAGTGGCAAGACAAGAAGGGATAGAATTCCAAATGAATACATTCGGGAGAATTTAGGTGTGGCATGAATAGGCAATAAGATGAGACCAAATAGACTTAAGTGGGCTAGGCATGTGTGGCACAGACCCACTACAGCACCTGTTAAGAGGTGCGAGTTACTTTTGTAGAAGGCTCAAGAAGGGCAAGGGGTAGGCCCAAAAGGACATGGATCGAAGTGGTGAGAAAATACATGGGGAGTTATGGCCTCACTGAGGATATGACCCTTATTAGAGCAAAATGACGGACCATGATTCATATAGTTGACCCCAATAAGATCGAAAAAGGCTTTGAAGATGATGATGATATATATGTACATATATAAATAAATAAATAAATATATCTATATATATATACACATGAATATGGGTCCACGTGTGTGTGAGAGAGAGAGAGGTCTCACATCAACCACTTAAAGGACATGTTCTTCTTTTTCTACTTTTTATATGTAGAGAGACATAGAATATGAGTCCATGCGGGGGGAGGCTCCATCAAACACTTGGAGGTCACTTCATCTTTTTCTTCTTTTTATATGTAGAGCGAGAGCATATGGGTCCATGTGTGTGTCTGTGTATGTGTGTGATTGTGCGAGAGAGAGGCCTCGCATCGAATAATCGGAGGGCATCTTCTTTATCCTCTTATTCTTATATATAGAAAGAAAGAGCATAGGGGCCTATGAGCGAGAGAGACGGGCCTTGAGCCCTTAGCCATTTTTATAGGCCTTAACTCTCTCTTCTTTTTTAAAGGGGGTTTACACTTTTTTTTTGTGGCACTAGGCACATAGGGGTTTGGGGGGCTAGATTTGCCCCCAAAACCCTTTCCCCATTTTTTAGGGGTAAATTATTTTTTTTGCCCTTAGCCAAGGGCCTTTTTCCCCTTTGAGACTGGCCATGCTGCACCATACCCAAAGGGACCGAGTTACCAAGAGAGAATTCTCTCTCTTTCTCTCTCTCTCTCCCCCCATATCTCCTCTCCCTCCTCCTTAATATATCATTTCTCTCTCCTGCATCAATCTTGTGCACAGGGGCATTAGATTTAAGGACAGCCTCAATATTTGTGCCACATTTTTTTATATGAAAACTACAATACTATAAAGGATGGCTACTTGCCCCATTTTGTACAGAGATCCTATGTGGACACAACGAGGACATAACGAGGATTTTGTACTAAAAAAGAATGCTCATAGTAAAGTCAAATGTTTCTTTAAAATAAAAATAAATGTTTTAGGTTGTAAATGTCTAGTGGCCTTAGGAAACTAGATACTTTAACATCCCAACAGAAGGATGCACAATAGGACTAAATAAGAGACATTGATGTAGAAGTGATATCAGGGGCAACGATAAAACTTGATGGATTGGAGGACAGGTCCTGTAAAGTCCAAAAGAAATTGTGGTTATGTCATACTGCTACTAATTCCATAACATTTTATCAGCTTATGATAACCAACAAACGAGAAAATGTTCAATAGTCAGATAGGAAGGCAATCCACGACTTTTTTGTTTCAGTTGAAATTGGAAATAAATATGGTAGGTGGCTGTGGATGCCAAGTGCAGTTAAGACAATTAAAGCAGCATCTAGGGAGGAACTTTGGCTTGGTTGTTTTGGAGATAGTTGGGCGTGTCTATGATGTCTGAAATCTGAATTGCGTATGCGTACTTGTGTCCACGTGTTTGTGCCTGTGTGTTTTGTCTTTGCTTTTTCTTTTTTTGCTTTTTTTGTTTTTTTTGGTTCAGGTATGGGGATTTGGGGAGGGGGGTGCCCAGCAACCACTAGTATGCATTATGATGGCAGCAATCACCATTATGCATTAGTTATCTAAACCTATCAGCAGGCACACCCTCACTGGCCTTCCTCTTGCTGAGTCTTCTTCTAACAACAAGGAAGATCCTATTATAACAAGAAAACCAATTTCACATTATCATTGATTTGGAAGAATCTTCACCAGAAATGTCCAAAACCATATACCCAAACCTATCTCGAGCAATTAAACATTGCGGCTACACACTAATCTTGATGGCTGGGGACCCACCCCTTTTAGATTTAAAAATGGTGAACTTGGGGCAATGAGAATTTTGCACAGTCAACCAATGGTGGCCAGACTTCAATTTGCATGATTGTGCAATTTTAGATTACTTTTTCACATGTAATTTGCTTAAAGAAAGGTTGGAAAGGCGGAACAATGAACATTTTGGGAGCACTGACACAAAAGATGATATTATTGAAGAAGTGGGCATGATGGACAAAGCTAAGAAATGTGGTCAGCTGTCAAAAAAGGAGATGGTAGTAGGGTGGACCGTTCAAAGCTTTCCAGACAAGAAGAAGTTTGTTAGCGACAAAGAACAGCAGCCCTGGCTCAGAGATGGGGATCATAAATAATTCTTGCACTCATTGGCAAGCTCTGAATGGAAAAGGAGCAATCAGGACATCTACACAGTTAAAAGCCAATGCAAAATCCACTTGGCACAAAGATGTGATATCATGGGTGATTGTGGATTTGTTCGGTTTTCTTTATATCCTGTCATGGAATAGAGATTGATCCTTTTGTAATCTTAATGTCTATATGAGTACAGAGGCTACTGCAATCTGATTAGAAGATCTTTGAACAAAACAAAGGTGTCTTCAGTTACAGAGAAGTTCCCAAGTCACTGATTCTATGCACCCTGCAACTCAACTCCATGAGCAGTTATTTTTACCCATTTTTATAGGAGAACCTTAATAACCAACAGAAAAATATAATACTACCGTAAATAAATTATCCGAATAAGCATTATGATACGTTTTTTCCCCCTAAACAAGCACATAACACATTAAACAAAAGAAATTGACTTGAACACAAAATTAGACCCCCCAAATTTAACAATTCAAGCATTATCCATAATGAAATATTATCTAACTGATACAGCATATCACTAGAAACTGTCCATGCAAGATCCTTTCCAAATTTCTCAATAACCAATCAAATCTTAATGCTTTCTTAACAGATAATGTAATAAATTTTGGCAGAACCCATAACTTCCATATTGCAATGGTCAATGCATTCATACAAAATCATTCTTGTCAATCAAAAAGAATATTTCAAGCTAAGGAAAACAATGAATTCAGTGAAACCCAACTCTTCACATGTTGCAATGATCAATGCATTCATACAAAATCATTATTTTCAATCAAAAAGAGAATTTCAAACTAAGAAAAATAAATGAGCTAGAAAGAACACAAAATATAATAGCAGAAAATATGGGACACATTTTAAGAGGCCAATTTCAATTCAATAGATCTAACCTGATTCTTCCACTTCACCAACCAATGAACTTAGAAAGACCCAAAATATTAAGTAAGAGTTAGAGATTTTCAGAGAGAGATATTCATAGAGAGAGTAGAGAAGAGAAATAAAATATGAGGGAGAGAGAGATGAAAGCCTCCATTGAGAGTGTACCCGGTCCTTTGGCCGCCATTTTGAGACCAACCCACTCTCCGATGGCCCAGAAGGCACGCAAGCTTCGAAAGACTCATGCCTCAACTCACAAAGAAACACAGGTTGAGGAAGATAGGCCATACTAGTAGTTGCAGGCCCACTACTCTCACTGGTCTCTGCCTCCCTCCTCTGATAGCCATCCTCTCCTTGTTCACCAGCAAGCTCCTCCAAATGCCCCGCTCCAGACATAGCTGCAACACCAGAACAGCTCGAAACCAGACCAGTGGGGTCACCAAGTGCCATGAAAGGCGAGAAACCTTGATCAACCTTGATCAACCTTGCCCTAAACGAGGCGAAACCATTGCAGAAACCCTATAAATCCCTATACCAGCAGCTAATAACACAGAGCACAAGAATCGAGCCAGACCCAAGCATGGCATAGCAGGTAAGTTGCAGACAAATGCAACGAATCCGTGTCATGAAAGATCTAGAGCCCAAACGCCATGACAGCTCCAGTGTACGGTGTTGTCCCCTCCCTGAGAAGAATGAACCTGCAAAACTCTAGAAATTCGAGGCTTTGCAGAAATCCCTAGCTTTTGCAGCTACCGTATGTAATGAAGAAACCCCTGGTTCTGAAATTCTAGCTCGAGAGAAACCCTAGAAATCGAGGCTTTCTCTCCAAGGAGAGAGCGGCGCAATGAAGGGTTCTCAAACGAAGGGGAGAGTGAGTGTCCTCTCTCTCCCTCTCTTATTATCTCTCATCTCTTTCTCTCTCTTCCTTTCTCTCTCTTCTTTCGTTTCACATTAAGGGAAGCGAAACTCGAAGCCGTCAACTATATCATACACAACATGTGTATAACTTGTCATACACAACATGTACACTTTTTACCGTACACTTCCTCTCCTCTATCGTTCGTATGCAAAAATTAACCGCTGATCCGAAGGTCGTGTATGTGAAAGGGCACACGCCTCGCGTGCGGCATTTTTGTGTGTAGTGTGTACAGCAAGTTGCCCGCTGCCCGGTGCTCGAATGAATGCTCCTCGTGGCCCGCACCATTGCTGGAGTGCAGCTAAGCAAACCCGATATGGGCCAACGCCTTCTTTCGTTTTTTCCTTTTTCTGTATTTTTTTTTTTTTTTTTTTTTGGTAGTTATGCGTCTTTTTTTTTTTCTGGATTTTGGCGTAAATTTATTAAGATGGCCTTAAAATTTATTTTCATCTGTAAATAATAATTCTTGAGCTCCAAAAATAGTTCAAATCAAATAGATCTACATGCATGAAAATCTTGAAAATTGACCGTTTGGATAATATGTTGCAATATACACTAGGTTTTTTACTTTAAACCTTTATTTTTTCACATATTCATACATCTTGGTGTGAAAATGTTTAATTAGAGAGTTTTCCAATATCAAAACAATTCTTTTCCAATATATTTGTTTAGTGCACCATAATTTTAAATTTTAAAGTTGCACTCTTATATAAACTTTTTATTTTTGCCTATATATTGCATATTATTCTTATTATTTGAAATTTTTCAAATTAAAGGATAAATGATACGAAACATTGGACGAAAACGAAATCTTGGTGCTATTTTGAATAAATTGGCATGAACATCTTGAAGCCAGACCCAATAGGAGCCTCCCTGTTTTCATTATTGGGAAATTTTTCAAGAGCAACTAACATGTCACCTATTTCCATCTTATCCATTTCCAACCATTCTAACTCTGGGTCATGTATTTTAATCGATTTTCTAAAATTAACACAAAATAAATAGATAAAATGCTAAATAATAGGTCATCTCTTTAGTGTATTTTGATAACATTTTATAGTAAAAATAATAATATTTAATTAAATAGAAAGAAAAAAAAAAAAACCACCGGTCACAATGACATTTATCGATAATATTTTTCCAGACAATAGGCTAGAGCATCATCTTCTCACTGCATGGTCCACTCCAAAGATTTTAAAGACAGAATTGGGCTCTCAGTCATGGAGGGCTCAGATTCCTCTCGCTAGGGCCAACTTGAGCAATTCTTAATTCCAAATGCCATAGTCATCGAGTCCAACTTGTGGGATTCATGTTCATCATCGTAGTCATTTTCCAATTAATTGAGGTTAGTGAGATCTACTCCAACGATTTTAAACTCGAAATTGGGCTCTCATTCATGAAGGGCTCAGATTCCTCTCGCTAGGGGCAACTTGAGCAATTCCAAGTTCCCAATGCCATAGTCATCGAGTCCAACTTGAGAGATTCATGATCATCATCATAGTCGTTTTCCAATTAATCGGAGTCGGCTACACGAATCCTGGCCTGTCATTTGGCTCTATTAATGGGTCGTACTCTCAGTGAGGCCATAAGTTCCCATATATTTTCTCACTACTTCTAACTATGTCCGTTTGGGTCTACCTCTTGCCATTTTTTAACCTTTTATTTGCGGGTCATACCTTAAAAGAGCATTTTTTGTTTTTCGAAAGAAAAATTTGTTAGGAGAAATGATAGGAAACACTAGTTAATTGTTCTTTTGATGAAATATGGCGCTACAACATCATATTTTTCATAAATGTTGTTTGCTTAAATTGAAGTAAATTATGTGAATGTCCCTTCTAATTTTTGTTATTATAGAAGTCCCATCCAAAGTTCAAAATTAAATTTAGTGTTTTATGTTTTTTATATTAAAATTACCCTTTTATGGATTTTCAAAGTCAATAAATTATTCTTCAAAATATGAAAATTCATTTGCCAAATTTATTTCAAGTTTTTCTCCCTAGTAGGGCCACAAGCATCTCTTGATTTTGTAAACTTTAAATTCTAAAAATCCAAAAAATATTATAGAAATAAATTTGCATGAACATTTTCGAAATTTTCAAAACCAAAATTATAAAATTTTCAGATTTTAAAATCAGAAAATGCTTATGGCCAGGAGCATCTTCGGATATTTAAAATCCAAATTTCTCTTTAATTTTCAGATTTCAAGAATCCAAAAAAAGCTTATGAAAAAATTTTAAAACCTAAATCACTAAATTTAAAAAATAATCAATTTTAGAACTCGAAGATTCGAGTTATAGGATGTTTAATCACTTTAAAAAAATTGCAAACAAAACAATACAAATGTAATAGTGAAAAATATTTAGGTAGAATTTAAATAACTTAAAATTAAAAGGGACATATGCGTATTTTTTTAAAAAAAATTAAAAAACATATATTTCTCCAAATACCAACCTGAAACAAAGCATTTTAAGCTTTTGTCTAATTGCAACTATTCCAACTCATTTTAAGCTTTTGTCTAATTGCAACTATTCCAACTCAAGGTCTCTTGTTTTCTATTTGATGTTTTGAAATTAAATCAAAAGATATGAGTAAACTGTTAAATTGCCCATCTCTCATAAATAATTTTAAAACATTATTTTTAAAAAAACAAATAATAAATAAAAACAAAATTTGCAACTACTCCAACTCAACGTCCCCTTTTTTTTTTGTGATATTTTGAAATTAATCTCATAAATAAATTGAAATTTTTATTTTTTAAAAAAGACGAATAATGAATGAAAACGAAATTGTTCCATTATTTCCACGAAATATTGACTTAAATCATCATGCTCGTGACATGCCACGCCCCTCGCCATATCCTCTCAAGTAGGGATTCCCACGTGCGAGGCCGACAGGGCCCTTGTTCTTTTATCAACGGTTTAAAAAAAAAGGGAATGAGAGAATAAATATTGGGCGAAAACGAGATATTGTCGTTACGTTGACGAAATAATGGGCAACGACATTATGTACCTCCCGTGCTTGCAAGCTGCCCCCCATTCAATACTGTTTCGTACGTGTAAATAAAGCTACTTGTGCTCAATTAAGGAAACGACTAAAGTACACCTTATATATTTAAAGCTTTAAAAAAAAAACAAAAAAGGTCCACCTGATTATTTTTTTAGAAATTGGCCGCATATTTTCTTATATTCCTCTATTTTTCAACCAGTGTTAAAAAAAAGGATGGGTGGGGTGACCGTCCAACCACATGACCGTCCAACCACATTATGTGTCGGATTGCAAGATCATCGATCTAAATTAGTTTGACGATCCTTGAAAAAAACAAAATGAGAAAACACTACAACCAAATAACCATTGAATATTCCAAAAAAAGCAATTAAACACGAACAATAATAAAAGTGCGGGGGACTTCAAGGGGAGCCAACCGGTGCCAATACTCGGCCGAAACCTGTCCAGTTTCCATAGACTCGATCCAAAACGCGATATTTGAAATTTCAAAAGAATTTCGAAATCTAGGTTGCCTTAATTCTATTATTGTTGTCAGCAAAGTACATTTTAAGGAAAAAGGTGTGGTTTATATAATGTCGAGGCCATAAACAAGCCAAGTAAGGCTTACCTTCAAATAGTACCGAAATATATTGTTTTTAGTATCAGAAATATTTATGATGGTCTGAAAATTTATTTTCATCTCTAATTATTAAATTTAAATACGCAAAAATAGTTTAGATCGAATAAAGCTATGAACATCTAAAAATAATGAAAATTGACGGTCTAGATAATATGTTACAAGATGCATTGTTTCCAATATTTGAATCTATCTTGCCTCATGTCCATACATCTTGAGGTTGTGATGATTGAATTGACTATTTTTTTAGCATTAAAATAATTAGTTTAATAAATGTTTGAAGTGCACCTTAATTTGATTGTTTAGGTCCTCACCCTTATACAAACTCTTTCCATTTTTGAATAATTAAATGGCTGCCAATATACTTAGAAAAAAACCTAATTGTCAAAGAAAGACAGGAAGCACTAGATGATTATGAACCTTGGACATTAGTGTTGACACCTTGTACACTTATACCATTATCCTTAAATAAAAACCCAGAGAATCAATTTGAGTGGAGTCCATCACACTAACTCCAAATGTGTACTTCATTTTGGAACATACTTATTTTATTAGCCATTATTTTATTTTTCTCGTGACAAGCATGCTCTTCGACCATCCATTATTATGGCATGGACATAGGACACATGCTTATACTTTGCCAAAGTTAAGCATAAAGATCAACACCTTCCATTATTTGGCATGGACAAAAAAAAAAAAATTACTTTAAAATCTCATTACAATTTTTATACTTAGAAAAATTATGTTTTTTATTTCTAAATTCATACATTTTTATTTTTCTCCTTATCTCAGTCTTCTAATTTATGTCGTTCTTAGTGAAATGCCAGTTTAGACATCCACATTGGATGTCCGAGCGTATTATTTTGAAAGAGGGCCATTTTGAACATCCAATGTAGAAACTTGTCTTTCACTCAAAAGATGGACAAGTGACTGGATTAGAACATTTAATACTGAGCCTGAGTACTTGTTGATTTTTTTAGGACCCACTTTTCTTCTTATTCTTCTCTCTTTTTTTTTTGTTTCCAAATTACCATAATTTCAGACATCCAACGTCCGAACCAAAGCCCTCTTTTTGGTTCTTTTTTTTTTTTTTCCTCACTAAAATTATGAACCATTTTTAATAGATAAATTTACATACATATCCCTTATATTTTGCATAATTTAAAAATTGTCCCCTAATTTCCCATTTTACATTTATGTGTCACTTTTTCATAGCATATATCATATTTTTATTTACAGTTTTTTATATGCTAGATTAAGCTCAAATTTCCGTATCCATATTTCTCAAATCATGCACATGAAAATAATAATTTTAGATACCTAAAATGACCACAATACAT